ACTGCTCAGTCTTTGCAGTGGCTGTTCCTTCCATCTGGATTGCTCTTCCTCTGGTATTCACACAGCTGGTTCATTCTTGCCATTCAGATTTCCCTCTTCAGGTGGACTTCCTGACTATCCACTCTGAAATCGCTCCCAAATCACTGAATTCCCTTCAGAGCACTGATCACTACCTGATATTTTTTCTTTTAAATAATTTGTTTGCATGCTCATTTGTAATCTGTATTCTTTCCTTAGAATGAAAGCTTTGGGGGACTGGGTCTTGGGCTTACTTACCAATGTATCCTAGAACTAAGAATAATTCTTATGCTCAATAAATATTTTTGTTTTAAGAACAGTAAAATATTGCACTGGGGCAATAAAGAATTTAGTAAGGAATTTAAGAGCACTACAAGCTACCACAAGCATCTTGGCCCTTACGTTGCTAATCATGGCTCCTATCTCCTAAATACCAACGCATGTGAAGCTTAAGTATAGTAAAGAAGAGAAGAAGAAACAAATAGTTTATAGGTAACACAACAGGACTCTAAACACTTTGGAAGTCAAGTCAAAATGTCTAAATAAATTCAAGGGATTCAGATTAGAGGTTTAATTTGATTCAACATGGAGAGGTGACCTGAGGAGACCTTTTTGGGGGCCTCCCAGATTTACTCAGTTTCGTGGTGAAATCTCTGAGACCTAAATGAACTGCTTGATTGGTTTGCTAGTTCACACCTACTGGTTCTCCCAATAGAATCCTTAGTCTTTCCTTCCAGGAAGAGAGGGCCTTGCTGCTTCCTTAGAAAAGAGCAGAGAACTGTAAAATGGGAAAAATTAGATGACCTATGTCCTTAAGAATGAAAATAGTCTTAGACCATCTAGAAATAGTATAAGAAGCTACTATGGCCATGAGAACTGTGCAAACATGATGAGAACTTGAGCTTTCTTATATTGATGTACTCTATCTGTAGAATGATTGGCAATATATTATTAAAAATCTGTAAGCTGATTTTTCAGGAAACTCAGAAAACTTGGGCAACTGGAGAGCCATTTTCCACTCTTCAGCTTGCCTTGAGGAATAGGAACCCCAAAAATATTCTATGTAGCAGATCTACAGAAAATAGGAAAAGAGGTTGCATCTTTGGAGGCAAGGTGGTTCACAAGTACCCCAGGAAGCTGTCTGGGGATTAAGGGGTAACCCCGGAGACTTAGCTAAGAGACTCTCAAGTTTTTCCAAATCAGGTATCTAAGGGAGAATATTTAACTGAATTGTCCTGAACATCTTTGCTTGTAAAAATTGGAAACTTTATTATGAAAGGATTCTTTCTTATAAGATTTTTTTTTTTTTTGGCAGTGTTGCTTCTTTCATGATCAAGAGCCAGAAGAAAAAAAAATATTTGAAGACTCTAGATTCTCATAAAAAAATCAATGTCAGTTTGATTCTACAAGCTGTAAAGATTTGGCTCATGTAATGCTCTGTGTTTTAAGTAATAATAGTTCAGAGGCTCATGTCCATGGAAATGCTCATAAGGATAGCAAGGAAGTTGTGAGCTGTTTCCAAAGAGCTTTAAGGAAAGGATAGGTAGACATCTACTAATAATGCTTTAGGCATTCATCTACTAGGGGAGTTTGGACCTTTTCTATAATTCTGTAAGTTGTAAAGAAAAGGACTAGAAGTTAAGGAGATTCTGTATATTATGTTGTGATTTTTTCTTAAAACTTATATTTAAGATATCACTACAATAAAAAGGATAGTAAAGAAAACCAGTGAGCTAAATGAAGTGTATTTCCATCAAAAAATCTTTTCATACCATTTCTAAAACAGAATCTGTCAATACCATTTTTGAAAAATGTATCAATTATAACTATTTTTTAATCAATAAGTGAGTGGGGAATGGAGGTGAGAGGTGGGAGAGGTGGTGAAGGCAGTGATATAAGTTGTATTATCTGGTACCTAGAATCCTAAGTGGAAATATAGAAATAAATGAGGCATGGTTTTCCATTGAACAATCACTCCCAACAATCATGTCTTCTACTCCTTGCAGCCTTCCTGGTCAGGTATCTAAAATTATATACTTTTCATTAGTTTTAGGCTTTCTCATCTCATCTATATTCTGGCCTTGGGTCACCTCCAATGTCCATTTTTCTCTGTTCCTGCTCTGTGCTTCTCAGTACTACTGCTGAGTCTCAAAACCCTGCTGACCATGCTCTCTGTAAGATCAAGCTCTCCAACCTCAGCAAAACCCTTTTTGCTACCCAGAAAGTCTTTTATTTTGCTTTGTCAGCTGCTACTCAATTTCCCCCATGGCTATCCTAGGCCTTTAAGCTCACTCTTGAAGGCCAGCTCACCTCCACTTTCAGCAGACGCCTTGGAAAACGTCTCTACATGGAGATGACTGAGTCTGTTCCACATGGGCAGCTTCACCTTTTCTCTTCTTTAAAAATCTATTTCCTCATCCTTCCTCCCTCAATTTACCTCTGTCCTCTAAGAATGAAATGTGTATCCTTTTTCTTTATCACATTCTTCTTCTTGTCAACTACTATCTATTCTAGGAACTGTGGCATCAAGTGTACCCTTACCTCCTCATATCATCAATTTATCCCCCTTTAGCTAATCATCTCTCATTTAAAACAAATAACCCTTCTATGACTCCACAAATGAATAAGTGTCTCTATTAAACACCTCATAAGAATAGCTGTACTCATCTGCTCCATTTCCTTGTTAATACACTTCTTTCTTTACTTCCTCCAATATTGCTTTTTTTTCTACATTTTATTTTTTTGAGGCATGATCTCACTATGTTTTCCAGGCTGGTCTCAAACTCCTGGGTTCCAGGAATCCTCTCACCTCAGCCTCCAGAGTAGCTGGATTATAGGTACTTGCCGTTATGCCTGGCTGTTCACAATACACTATAGAAACTGTTCTCCCATTGGCCTCTTTTCAGTCTTCATTCTCTTGACATTTATCCTACTGAACACCTTCTAAGAATTCTCTTACTCCACTTCTACCACTCTTATGGTGCTTTTTGTAGCTTATCTGACTCTACATTCTCTTTCTGTCTGAATGCAGACATTCAATGAAGTTCCAAGGTTCCCTTCTCTCATCAGTCTATACTTTCTGCCTGATAAGCTGCTTCTAAATCTTCAAACTTTGCGCTTCTTATTTTGTGTTTCTATGGCTTGAGCCCTAACCTCTTTTCCAGACTAAAACCTCCACTGAGTGGTTGAATACATCAATTACCTGCCTGTCAAACTCAATAATGTCTCTAAATTGAAATTATTATTTTCCTCTCCCAAAACTCCTCCCAACTTTAGTACTTCTGATAATAGCATTTATCATTCTAGAAACCTGAATACTCATTTTGCATTCAACAACTATCTATTGTGTGCTTAATACATGGTAGTTAACAGTTCCAGGCACTGGGGATAAAGGAGTGAACAAGATGAATAACGCTCTTGCCCTCATGGAGTTTACATTCTAGAGTGTGGAAACATAAAACAAACAAGTAATTAAAAAAGACAAATTTTGGTAGAGAGAAGTGGTGTAAAGAATGTAAAAAGTAAATGACTATTTTGATAGATGGGTTTGCATATCTAACCCATGGGGTTGCATATCTAACCATATTTGATAAGGTGGGCAAGGAAGCCACTTCAAAGAGATGACATTCAAGCTGAGACTTGAATAACAAAAATGCCAATCATAAAAATATTGTGGAAAGAACTTCTCCAACAGAGATATCAGTAAGTGCAAAAGCTCAAAATATGCATATACCTTTTTGTTTCCCACCTCAACCTATCACCCTAATTTCAAATATTTGTCAAGTCTTATTGAGTGATCTCAATTTTGATCCCTCTTATATCTATTTCCTCCTGGGTTAAGCCCTCATTAAATTTTTTTTTTTCCTAAAGGGATAGGGTCTTGCTATTTTGCCCAAGCTGCCCTCGAACTCCTGGGCTCACCAGATCCTTCTGCCTCAGCCTGTTGAGTAGCTAGGACCACAGACACGCACCACCATGCTTGGGCTTAACCCTCATTATTTCTTGCTCCCCACCCATTTCCTGTTCCAGTGCAAACTTCATATCACTACAGAGGTGACCACACTAAAGTGAAATGCTATGTCATTCTCTCACTCCAAAGCCTCGAGTGACTCCCATTATTTGCTGAACTAATAATATAAACTTGGAAGACCAACATTCAAATCTCTTCATGGTATAACCTCAAAAATATCTTCCAATTTTTCTCTTCCATACTGCTGAGCTCAGTTCTACTGAAATTAGGGTTCAGAGCACACCTTAAACATTCCTGCCTCCAGAGTTGCCCAAATGTCCCCTCCACTTGGACTCACTGTCATCCCCTCACACCCAATATTGACCAGTCATAGCCCTCCATGTCCTATCTCAAATCTCCTTTTCATCTAAGACCCTTAACCTTAAGATTTTTCTATTTTTTACTCTTCAAAGAACTGTATTCCTTTCTCATAGAATTTGTCATATTTTATCCTAGAATATAGTTATTTGCACATCTGTCTTCTCTCTATATACCCCTTACTATATTACAGATGTTGTAAGACAAGGACCACATGTTATTTATCCTTGTACTAGTGTGGTGCCTTATACATAGTTGGCGTTGGATATTATTTGTTGAATGAATGAGTTTGTCAAATCTGAGTTTGATTAGCTAATATTTATTTTATGATACCCCAGGTGGTTTCTCTTTTATCATTCCTCTTACTCACTCTCATGAGACCTATATATGAAAAGGCAGAAAGGAGACAGGAAATAAATACAGAGAGTTCTTGTTTTGAAACAGTCTAATTAGCTTCAAGCCGGTCAAATGATTAAAAGTTTATACTGAGAAACATTAAAAATACCATTTTAATCCTGTATAATCAGTATAGTATGAGATAGATAACTCTTAGTGAAATGCTAATTGATTGATTTCTTGCTCAGGAAATAAAATTGCTTAGCACTATGCAGTGCTGAAAAAATACATTATCACAATCACAGAACCTCGAGCTTACCACATTGCTGCATGTTCTATATCGGATATTTCTTCCTTCACAGCTCCTAGGTCACAAAAAGAAAAAAAATCTCATTACTACTTACGAAAGGCTAAAATTTGAAATATTTTCTTAGAAAAATGATATCCTCTTAATACTAGTAGAAGGACCTCCTTTTCTTCTAAGCAGGTTCTCAGGAGTTACTTACTATTAAATACTAAATCAAGCAGATCTAAAGAAGTTGTATATGTAAATTGATTTCTTGGTAAGGGTTGAACTTAAGTATTCATTTTGCTTCAAAAACTTTCAATATAAGTACTTAGTGCATATTTAACCAAATAAGTATTAGTGCAAGGTTTTCTGAAAAAAAGTTCATATTAAATGAATTCTATCTTCATCATATATTTCTGATATAAAACTGAAGAAATATTTCACTGAAAAAACTTAGATCTTGAATATGACAAAAAAACTTGGACTTAATACTCAACATGTCTTAAAAATCACACTTCTCCTTAGAAGTTAAAAGTCATAATTCTTTAAAAATTACTTTTATTTCTAAAATGTATACTCATTGTAGAGATTTTGAAATAGACAGATTACTAAAAAAGTCTCCTGTGGTTGCCTCATCTAAAGATAATCACTATTGTTTTGATTTATTTATACCCTTCTAGTGTGAAGGAAATCACATCACTTATACAATTGTGTAGACTTTTTCTCCCACTTAAAATTTTTTGAAAGTATTTTCCCACACTATTAAATAACTTAAAAAAACACCATTTTGAAAGCTATATAATATTCCATAATGATAGAACATAATTTGTATAATCATTCTTCCATTACTTGTCTCTTAAGTAATTTCTTATTTGGAGTTTGATAAATGATGGTGTGACAAGCCATCTGCAGGCATATGTTTTATCCAAGTTTCTGTGTCTTTAGAATAGATAAATTTCTAGAAGGGGAATTACTGGACTACAGGGAATGAACTTTTGTAAGGCTCTTGATAAATATTGCCAAATTGCATTCCATAAAGGTTGTACCATTACATACTCCCACCAGCCATACATGGGAGTTTACATTTTACTGAATTCTTGTGAACAAAAACAATCAATTTTTGCTAAAACATCCAATGATGACGCTTAAATCATGAACAACAGTACTCTGCTCTTTTCAAAATTAGTCACATTTTTCAAAAAGTAAGTTAAAAATACACTACAGAATTCTGAGAGAATGGTTATGCTAACCGCTGACAGTTGTGGAATCCCAGGTACCTTTCTAAGTTTGCTGTACTTATTAATTTATTTAATCTTCTCAAAAACCCTAGGACAGGGGTCCTCAAACTTTTTAAACAGGGGACCAGTTCACTGTCCCTCAGACCATTGGAGGGCCGGATTATAGTTTTAAAACAACTATGAAGGAATTCCTATGCACACTGCACATATCTTATTTTGAAGTAGAAAAACAAACAGGCAAAAACACCCGCATGTGGCCCATGGGGCCGAAGTTTAAGGACTCCTGCCCTAGGAGATAGGATACTATCATTATACTCATTTTACAGATGAGAAAACTGAAGCTTAGGAAGGCTAAGTAACTTGCCAAAATCACACAATTATTAAGTTGTAGAGCTGAGATTTGACACCAGACCATCTGGCTTCAGAGATCATACTTATAATCACAATGTTTTAATGTATCCTAATTCATTTTTTTTGTTGTTGTTCAGCAAACATCATAGAGCTTCTATTATGTACTGAGTAATGAAATTACTATGAAGAATACAAAGAAGAATGAATATGACTTAGTCATTATTATTAATAAAATTAATCATGTAATTCAGTGTAAGAAATGCTATATAGTATTTGTCTTAGGTCTTGAGAATATTAGCAAAAAGAAAATGTCATCTGTAAACACAATTATATAAAAGCTATCTTAAAAATATAGTAAAGGCCCCAGGCCTAAAGGCTTGACTATATCAGATTGACTATATAACCATGAATTACAAACAGGAAAGGGGGCCAGGTGTGGTGACTCATTGCCTGTAATCCCAGCACTTTGGAAGCTCAGGTGGGAAGGTCTCTTGAAGCCAGGAGATCAAGATCAGCCTGGGCAACATAGTGACCCTGTCTCTACAAAAAAATAAAAATAATAATTATCCAGGTGTGGTAGCACACTCCTGTAGTCCTAGCTACCCACGAGGCTAAGACAGCAAGATCAATTGAGCCCAGGAGTTCAAGGCTGCAGTGAGCTATGATCATGACACTGCACTTTAGCCTGGGAAATACAGCCAGCCCCGTCTCCAAAAAAAGGTCCAGCAATGTTCCAGACAAAGGCCCAATGAACTTTAAGCCCTTCACGTCCCATTGGCAAGACCGCTGCAATCTCCACATAGATGACTCATGCTAACCTAGCTGATGTCAGCAAACATTCAGTTCATCTGAGGAAAACTATTCATTACGATGCCATGTTGACCAAGCTACTTGCCAAGAATGGTCTGGATTTTCATGACTGCTGAGAGGCAAAGAGTGCTGGCCATGCTGACTTAAGTATTCTGGTCCATGTGATAAACAGTTCTATTCTTTGTTGTAAATAAATCAACTGGCATTCTAGTTTAAAATATTAATCTCATGCGCTGGGTCATTGCTAGTGCACCCCCGAGAGAAGGATCTATTCTTGGTACTTACTACTGCTGAAAAATATCAGGTTTCTGAGTCCAAAAATATGAGAAGTAGGCTCTAGATAATGGTAAATTTACAAAGTAATGACTTCTACAATTGGGAGGCATTTGGTGGCATGCCATCTAGACATTGGTGTTTGCTGAATGTGGTATGTTTTCAAATTTTAAAATTCTTGCTACATATATACCATAGTATAGTGGTTAAGAGTACCCACTTTGAAACCAGACTCCTCTTTCTGGAATCTTGGCTTTATACCTCAGTTTTTATACCTTAGTTTTGTCATCTGTAAAATGGGAAAATATTATTTATCTCCTGGAATCATGAGGATTAACTGAATTACTATTTGTGAATCATTTCAAATGGTGCCTTGCACATAGTAAGCATTACCTAGACATTTGATAAATTAATCAAGTACATAATAGATATAAAAATATAATAGCTTTTGAAAGGAGGTCAAGAGTTTATAGAAAGAAGCTAAGCAAAGACATAGAAGCATGAAAACATTTGGTGTATTTACAAATTTTCAAACAGTTCTTGTTTTGTGGAGTTTAGGGTTTATGTGGGAAATGGTAGTAGATGAGTAAAACAACTTTTAATTTTGAACTTTGTAATAAGCAAAGGAGAACTACTGAAAGTTTTAAAATAGAGGAGATGCAATGACTTTTGGCTTTGGAAAATAAAGTCTGGTGTTAATTATTGAGGCCTTAATACTCTATGTTTTTCACCTTCGTTTTCTTTTCTTTTCCTAACCTTATATCCATGAAAGGGATAATGGAAATAATTCTGAACTAGGAGTTTAAAGATCTGGGTTATAGATTTTGTTCTTCCACTTGGATAAATAAGCCTGTTGCCCTCCTCTCAGGGTCTTCGTTCCCTCATCTGTCAATGGATACAAGAATGCCAGCGCACAAAGTTACGATCACCAACTGAGATAATGCACAAAAGCTCTGTTCAAATGCCAAGGGGGTGATGGCAGAGATATTGCTTACAAAACAAAACAAAGCAGAAAAATACTTGCTTTGATAATTTAAATGAACCTCTTCCCAGATATTATAAACTATAAATACCTCCATAGATTTTACAAACATCCTTGGATCATGAGATATAAGCGTAGACTGTAAAAGATTGATATACATACTTATTATTTAGGAAAAGCAAAACAAAACAAAAACAAAGCAAAGAGAAAACACTTGTCATGATTTCCAAAGAATATACTGTAATTGTCAAACATTTACTATTGACTTGCAAATCATTTATTCATCCCTCTGAACTGCCTTCCCTTTACTGTACTGTATTACTTTTTTTTTTAATTGAGAGCTTATTTAATTTGGCTGAAATATGATATTAAAGTGGTAATGCTTAAGTTTGGCAAGGTGCTTCTTATTGAAAGACATTATCAAATTGCAGGTGATAGTAGAAATACTAGCCTCTACTATATATGCAGTGTCTGCTATAGGTATCTGACCAAGTGTTAGGTATTCTGTGTATAGTATCTCTACTCTCCCAACAACTCTGCAAATTTTTATTATTCTCATTTAATAGATGAGAAAACTGAGGCTGAGGAAGCTAAGATGGCTTAAAGCTAATACACAGAAAAGAGAGAACCAGAAACAGAAATGCAGAATTGCTCTAAATTACGTCAAACAATAAGAAATGGAACGAGATGTGCTCAAAATGTGTAATATACTAATATTAGTATACTAAACACTAAAAAGCTGAGAAGCTAAATAAGGGGCTAGCCTGGGGATCAGCTGTACCTTATTGTTACAATACCAATTTATCATCTACTTCTTAATTCTGGTAAATCCACTTCTGGAAAAGCATACCTAGACACACACTGGAACATCTCCAAGAAAACAGTGCTCGTCAGCAAAATTCAATGTGAAAGAGCTTCAGAGCAGAGATGCTTATGTATTTTAAAAGTTCAAATGTATTAAATCTGAATATAAATTTTACGTAAGTAGCAAAGTGACTATTCCACTGCAAGGATTTAACTCTTGCCAAGTGTGAATTTCTTCATCTAAGGCATTTATCTGGGCACAAAACCCTCATATGAGAATTAAGCAGTAAAAAATATTTTCTTTCTATTTTTTTTTAACAGTTCATTAATATAAAACAGCTGAGTAGTTTCTTCCACATTTAAACAAAGTAAAATCTACCTCTGAGGATGAAAACAAGCATTAGAAATTTTGGTATAAAATGGTGTCTGAGGAAAGTTACAGACCACTGATAACAGAAGATTTAAGTACATGCACTCTCTCAATGCAAACTGTAAAATAGTTATGGGACTGTGGTTAGTGACTTAAGTAATATACTGATTATGAACTCAGAAACTGGCTCAATTATGAAAGATCAAAATATATATATTAGAAGAAATTCCAACCCAAATTTGTATAGA